TCACAATTTCTCTGGGTGTCATTTTTCTAATTCTTAAAATAGAGATAATACCACCTCATGGGATATTAGGAGGATTAAATAAAAAAAAAAATGGATGTGAAAGTCCTTTATACATTTACACTGTGATGACAGTTTAGGTTCTATCCTTTTCTTGTTCAGAATCCCGTGGGTTTTCACTGTTAGCCAAATAGAGTGAAACCAGACCTTCAGGCATTGAGCCTGCCTTCAGCCTTCTCTCCTGGAGTTAATGCCAGGACTCACCCTCAGAGATTCTGGCGCTGCTGGTTGGGGCTAGGGCTTCAGTGTTGGTTCGTTTGAGCACCCTGTCCTCTGCTTCAGACCCTGACTGCATGTTCGCTCTCGAGTCCCACCAAGGGCAGCCGTGTCTGACAGACGCTACAGAAATCCTCCTCTTCTATGTTGGTGTCTGTGTTTTTATCAGATTTTTATAAAGAGTTTTTTTTAATGAACGTAACCATATATTTATGGTTTTCAGACGTATATTGCTGTTTTACTTCCTAATGTAATGATGAAGTTTTTGTGAATAAGAACTCTTTTCAACAAGTATTTATTATAAACCTACAATGTCTGAGGAGCTCTGCCTGTTCTGGGGCACAAAGATGATTAAGGCTTCAAGGAGCTTTGTGTTTAGAGGAAGAGACAGGTGCATAAAGTGATAAAGCACGATGAAACAGTGGAAGTTCCATGTCACTTGTACAGGGAACAGTATGGGCGAAGAGGGCAGTGGTCATTGTAACCTGAAAGTTGTGATGTTTGGTGGGTGAGGTCATGGGATGTGTCCTGTGCCTGGGGCAGGGCCCTGAAGATGGGAGGCTTTGATGGGCCTGAGGCTCTGGTGTTCCAGGCGGAGGGAGCAGTGGCGGTGTTTACACTTTACCTGTCCTTCATTTATCATATGAACTGGAATACATGTGGTTACAGTGGACTGGAAATACCTTCCCTTCAGGAAGATTCAACAATCAGAAAGCAGACCTACCAATAAGAATTAACTTTTTAACTCATTGTAGTATTTACTAGGGTTGGTTAGTCTTTAAAAAAAAAAATTAGCCACAACCTTAATAATGAGTCAGCAAACAGTTGACCTCAGCTTTGGAAAAGCTGTGATAAGCCTAGATTGTGACAGCAGGCTCTGCGTGTATTAATGGAATTCCGGACATGGCCCTTGCCCAGATGACAGCAAGTGAGAGTCGTGCAGGACATGACACTATGCGTGAGGCCCCATTTGGAGCCACGTGTCTCCCATGTGCAGGAGAACCCAGGCCGTTCAGTGCAAACAGAGGAGAAATCTAAGACCGTGACAGGTCGGGACTACCTGTCACAAGAAAAACAGGCAGAGGGAAACCTGGTGTATTCAGCTGTCTTGGGGGAGAGGAGTGGAGTTCCCTCGCCTCCCCAGTGAAGCGGAATAGAGACCCTAAGCAGCTGCTGCAGGAGGATGGGTTCTGAGAGGTTCGGTACCCTCCCCACCTCCTGCGTCCAGGCTGTGATTGACAGGGCACCGCATCCCGTAGGAGGCTGCTTAGACATGTTCCAGGGCGCTGATGCGGCCCCATGCCAGAGGTGGCCAAGCTGCATCCTATCCATGGTGAATATGCCAAAAATAATTTTTCAAATGAACCTAAGCTATTAAATCTTCAACTCTGAGGTGGTATTTCCATACTTTTGATGTTAAAATCCTTTTATCAATGGAGTAATCATTGTTCCTTAGGTGATATCTTTATGTTAATCTCCAGATTTTTTTTTCTGTTTTAAAGTCTTAAAACTTCTCAACTAGATGACTTTTAAGATCTGAGTTCTCTTTTGTGTCTAAAGTTTCACAGTTCCCTATTTTGTACAGAAACAGTCGTATACCACTAGAAGAGTACTCTGCCAGAGAACATGTGCTTGATTTGATCATGGTTAAATACTGAGGTTCAGGTACCTATTAGAAGGAGTTTATTTTTTAAATTACTCAACAAACGAGGCATTAACTTCTCTTCTACAGCAGAGTTTTTCAGTTCTGACAACTCCGTCATAAACTAAAGTGGTGTCCACTTAGAAAGGGTAGAATTTCCTTTTCTGCTAATATTTTTCAGCCCAACAGCAGCACAAGCTTTTTGAGTCCACAAACAAAGTCGAATTGGGGAGTGTTCCATCCCAGCTGGAGGGGCCGCGGCTGCTCCCCTCCCAGGGCCTCTGTTTACCTCCTGGAGCGGGTGAATTACACTTTGTGAGGACTCTCTGAAAGCCAGTTTGTAACTGGTGAGCAAAGTGTTCCACTCTTAGCAAACCCTTAACAAAGGAGACCTACTGGTATTTACCACTTGCTGGAATTTTCATGGATCCAACAGTATGTAGATAATTTCTAAGATATAGTCTGTGTACTTAAGATATAATTAGTAACCTGGCGGCTCAGTGGTAAGGAATCCTGCAATGCAGGAGCCTAGGGTTTGATCCCTGAGTCAGGAAGATCCCCTGGAGGCAGGCATGGCAACCCACTCCAGTATTCTTGCCTGGAGAATCCCATGGACAGAGGAGCCTGGCAGGCTGCAGTTCATAGGATCACAAAGAATCCCACACAACTGCTAAGTGACTTAGCATGCAAGCACGCAGAGCAGAGCAAAATTTACCAAAAATAAAAACTCTTGACTAAAGGGCAGATAATCTGGGCCACAGTTTGCTATGTAATTTGGTATACATTTTCTGAATGCATGATTAAATTTTTTGCCTGAATCTTTCCATTATTTAATCTACTTGTATGCCATTTATCAGATTAATATATGCTCCTTTATCTGGGAGAATGATAATTATTTTCATGATACATTTTCAGTATTAAATAGCTGAGAAAACATCTTAAAGTTTGTTTTACTGTTGTTTACTGTAATATTTAGGTTTCCCTCATAGCTCAGTTAGTAAAGAATCTGCCTGCAATGCAGGAGACCTGGGTTCGATTCCTGGGTTGGGAAGACCCCTTGGAGGAGGAAATGGCAGCCCACTCCAGTATCCTTGTCTGGAGAATCCCATGGACAGAGGAGCCCGTTAGGCTACAGTCCATAGGGTCACAGAGTCAGACACAACTTAGTGACTCAACCACCACTACTGTAATATTAAGTGAAAGACCATTTCAGTTATATTTACTTTGAAAACAAGTAATTGTTAAGCTGTATTTAAAAAGGAAAGATGCACCATTGCTAAGAATTGATCCCAATGCATTTCAGCCATAATACATGGTTTGTATAAGAACTTGAACGAAGGATCTAATTAAACCATGGAACAGATGGTGCCATACAAGTTGTTATTTAAATGACCAGCTTTTCTGAAATTTGGAAGTGACTGATTTAAAATGTGTTATCTTAAATCCAGTGAGCCGTTTCCTGGATAGCAGAGTCACTGTCATACTGAGAATTCAGCACAAGCTAGCATATTCACAGAAGCTTGCAGGCCGTCATGGAAGACAAGAGTTTAAGCTCAGCTCAACCAACATTAATTTCTGACCTACTGTGTAACCGGAGCAGCTAATTTATTTATCTGAATCTCAATTGTACACCTAGAAAACAGAAACAATAATACCAATTTCTAAGGGTAATTTGGTTATGTGTGAGTAGACCAAATATCTATTGCTGTTGACATTTTGCTGTTTTATTATTGTTATTAATAGTCATTCAGTTAAAAGCTAGGTATTTCCCATTGTTTTGCCAAATACTTTGGTTACCTAAAATAAACCAGCTTTTTTTCCTTAAGCCATATTTATCATATTTTGAAATATAGTATCTAACTCAGTGTTTTCAGAGTCTGATAGACGTAAAGAATCTTCCGTGTCACATAACATAAAATCCACAGTTTTCTTTATACTTTCAATCCTACAACCATGAACTATCTTTGAGTTTCATCTAAAATATAGTTTGCAAATTCACAAAGCCAGCCACTTGTGCCTTCTGAGGTGGCCCACAGTGTCTGTGTTTCTCTCTAAATAAATCCACTTCTTACCTATCCAAAAAAAAATTACAAGCCAAATTTAGGAGTTGGGGATTATTGTTCATTCTCTTTTTTTGGCTTATTTTGTACGTAAGGCCTACATATTATTACCTTGGATATTTTCATCCTCCTCAGTGTTTTTCATAGCAGAACACTATAAAAAATTAAGTCGGGAAGTGACAGATTGAGACCGTTAATGTAAATTACAGCAATGGAAGATTGTGTTTTCCAGTCCTAATTTGAAACATTTGCCAGTAGCTTTTGTAATGTCAGGCATTTGCAGGTTTAATTTCACTGTACTTTAGACAATTCAGTGTTGATTTCCTGTTGATTAGCACATGGAAATCTATTTTGTGATCTCCATTTAAGTCAGCTCCTCTTCGTAAAGCCCTGCTGTTTCAGAGATTAGAAACAGAGAAGGCCTGCAGCTGAAGAGCCACCGTGAATCTCCTGATTCGCTCTTTTTGCACAGAAGTAAAAATGACCAACCTGTCAGGAAGAGCAACTGTACCACCAGAGGAAGTACTTTTTAGAAATGTCTCACCTTCCTTATGAACAAAAGCATGTTTTTAAGAAAAAGCAGTGCATACAAGTACAAGTGCTACCTTTTTTCAAATGATGTTTGCATGTAGGTGGTCAAGGTTAAAAAAAATAGGAAATATGATACATCAACAGCTGTTCAAAATACAAGCTTAGCAACCCTAAAGGAAGCCCCCACAGAATGCCGGCCCATTTTACAGGGACATGGTGGCCGGTACCCCTGATGAGGGACGGGCCAGGGGCTGGCATGGAGCTGAGCTGAAATCAGTTGCCCCCTGTTCAGTTGCCAGGCAAGGGCCGCTCCCAATTCAGAACCCAGGCTGGGCCTCCATCTCCTTGCTGCTTCTGAGTCTTGCATCTGGGATCTTCACTGGGAAGTTGGACTGGAACCTGGCTAAATCTGTCAGTGTCCCTTTTGAATGTATGTGCCCTTAAAAAAGTTTTTTTTCCATTATTGGCATATTTTTTCTTTTCCTTTTCCGCAGGCGGGTAACTTGCAGACTCACTTACGTCGGCATTCTGGGGAGAAGCCGTACATCTGCGAGATCTGCGGGAAGAGGTCAGTGCAAGGCTCGTTCACCCGCCCGAGAGGAGCCCTCTCGGCATCCCCAAGCCTCGCAGGGGCTGAGGTCACCCAGGAACCAGCAGAGCTGAACCCGCTGGCCTTTAATGTGACCCACATGAGAACAGAAAAAAGAGATGGAAATGTTAATCAAAGGAGAATCTAGGACACAATTGTAGGAAATGGGATTTTACAGGAAACAATTACGCTAAAATTTCCATTCATTCCAGAAATGTCTATTAAAAGATGACTGGCCCCACAGAGGTGACCGTCTGGTAGGGAAGTGAAACTCGGCAGCCTGAATGCCTGGAATCAGGAGGGGGCTGCTGGGGGCACGCCAGCCCCGCTCGCAGACCCGTGAAAAGGCTGAGAGTGCAGCTACAGGAAGGACGGGCGAGCCTCAGGGCCAGGGAGGCTGTGGACTCGGGAGACCACGGTCTCCCTCAGGAGGTGGAGGTGCCCCCTCCTGTGGGCCTGCCGGCCTGCAGCCTGCTCCCCCTGCCCCTCGGGGGCATTTGTGGGGGTTCCACTCCCTCTGTCATCTGGTGGGTGGTCGTTCCAGGACAGGAGGCAGCAGCCAGGCCGCTACTGGTCACTTGTGTGTTCTTCATTCATTTAACCATTCAGCCATTCAGCATTTATTAGGCACCTACTGTGTGCTAAGTGCTGTGACGGGAACACTGACACTCTCTGCCTCTGATACGTTCGCATTCAGGAGTCAGGGGTGGGTGGGGTGAGGGGGATGACATGGGGCAGTTATAGTCACAGTCTTCTGCTGGGATGGGGCAGCACCCTTGATTCAATTCCAGAAAAAGCAGTTGTCTCTGCAGATGGTAGAAAACAGAGAAGTAAAGGCTTCCTGGCCTGATAGTGTCTCTGCCAGCTGCCCGGACACTGAAGGCCAGGTTTAGCGCCCAGGTCCCGTGTCCTGCCTGCCTGGGGTGCCTTGTAGCACAGGCCCTCTGCTGTTTCGCTGGGGCGGGGCGGGGCCGGGGCGTCCTTGAAAGTCTTGTTTCTCAGGGTGTTTTCAGTGTGAGCCTTCTGAACTCCCGTTTAGAAGTGAAGTGTGCATTTATAGTCTTCCCAGATGCATGGTCCTGCGGTCAAGTGAGGCGGGACAGAGAGGCACTGAGCTCCACGCCGGGGCTTGGGTTGGGCTGGGATTGCCCCCCACCCCCCGCAGCCGCCACCACCAGCCCACCTAGCGATCACCTCTGAGGAAGAAAGGTTAACACAAGTAGGTAGGGAAAAAGTGTTTTAGAAGTGAAACACTAGGATCATTCTCTACTCTTCCTTTAAAAAGAGGAGGAAAAAAAGATGTTCTTCTCTAATGAACATCTCAAACAAAATCAGGCCATTCCTGGTCACATTCTGAGGGAGCAGCTCGTCTCCTCCAGGCGACTTGGAGGTAGAAAGGTCTGCAGTGACGCAGGCAAGCTCTTAATTGACTTTCCAAATTGCATTTGCAGGTTTGCAGCCTCGGGAGATGTCCAGCGTCACATTATCATCCACTCAGGAGAAAAGCCACACTTGTGTGACATCTGTGGTCGAGGTATGGCCGAGGGTCTCCCTTCTCTTCCGTGAAGATCTCTGATTAAAATGTCTCTCCGTCCATCAGCCTAACCCCGGTGTGTGGTCTCCTCTCTAGGGTTCAGTAACTTCAGTAATTTGAAGGAGCACAAAAAGACGCACACGGCTGACAAAGTCTTCACCTGCGATGAGTGTGGGAAGTCTTTCAACATGCAGAGGAAGTTGGTAAAGCACAGAATCCGACACACGGGTGAGCGGCCTTACAGCTGCTCGGCTTGTGGTAAGTTTCCGCCGGCCACAGACCCCGTGCTCACCTGCTCCTCCCCACGGGGAGGGTGCCGAGCTCTGCCCACACACCGTCCTGGTCATTAGCGGGGCTCAGATAGGTCACCCCTCTTCTCATGGATAACACGGAAGTGATTGCTGTTTCTTGACCACCTTGGTCTTCTCTGATTGATCTGTGTTCGTGTGGCATTTACCCGAGGTTTCGGCAACTGCCCTAGATACCAAGGTGACTGGTGACAGAGGCCCCGGTGCCACAGGGCATTGGCAGTGGGAAAAGCGGGCGAGAGCGTGTGGTGTGGCTGCAGGGCCAGGGCACAGCAGCCTGCGGAGCAGCGGGGACACACGGTGGGCTCAGGAGGGGGGCTTCTGAAGACCATGTCACATGTCACAAAGCAAAGTCACCTCTGCGGCATCCGGTGCATCAGTGACGTCATCAGGAGGGAAAGCGGAGGCCCGCGGTGCTCGGTTTCCAGGCACGTCACTGCACAGGCGAGAGAACTGGGGCTTCGAGTTAAGTACCTGTGATCACAGAGTGTCGGAGCTTCTGAAGAACTGGGGGAGGGCGTGTGTGTGTGTGTGTGTGTGTGCACGTGCGCGTGTGTACACATGTGCCACTGACAATGTGGACTGAATGAGTGAGTAGCCATTTTTATGTCTACCTGGTTAGAACAAAGAGGAAAACTGCTCAGAGTCAGGCCATGGGGAGCCTGGAACTGGGGCATCCTCGGAGCGGTTCTGTTCTCGTGGTTGGTCCCTAAAATAGGGCAGGACGTGCGGGATGTGGCCAGAGGCAGCTTCCTTCATGTCTCCCACGTAAGCTGGGTCAGATCCCCCGGACACCAGCATCTGCAGCTCCGTGACTTGTCCGCTCCCTCCTAGAGGATAAAATTGCATCATTTTCAATCACAGTTGCAGTCTCAAATCCCTAGTGTAGGATGTCAGTTCTAAATTACTATTCTGACTGTGAACTTGACCTCAGTTCACTGTTCCCTTCCTTCCAGCCAGGACCTGCTGCCCGCTGTGACCCACCCCAGTAGAGGAGGCAGTGCAGCGGGCCCCTGTCTCTCCCATCCTTATTTCCACCCCTCCCCGCTACTCACTGACCGAGGTTTCTGACCCAGACGAGGTCAGCTCTTGGGGAGAGCAGGGAGAGGAAGGGAGCGAGCATGATTCTGTGTGGCAGTTTCGAATCTTTATTAACACTTGCTGAGTTAAGTCCTATCTATAAAACCCACCCGTTGGGAGCGAGCAAGTCAGCAGTTGGGGTGCATTCAGTGTTGTGCTGCCCTCACCACAGTCTTAGAACATTTTCACCACCCCAAAAGAAACCCCATGCCCATGAGCAGTCACTCCCCATCCCCTCCCTCGGCAATCCTTAATCTACTCTCGGTCCCTAGATATGCCTGTTCCAAACAGTTCATAGAGACAGCATCCTGTAATGTGTGGCCTTCTGTAACTGACTTCATTTCACTTAGCAAGTCTGCTGTGAACATTCACATGCAAGTGTATATGTGGGTGTATGTTTTCGTTTTCTTGGATTCAAAAGACAGTTTCCATTTAATGGTGGCTTCACAGTCTGAGCTTTGCTAGACTGTGAACTTGACCTCAGTTCACTGTTCCCTTCCTTCCAGCCAGGACCTGCTGCCCGCTGTGACCCACCCCAGTAGAGGAGGCAGTGCAGCGGGCCCCTGTCTCCCCCATCCTTATTTCCACCCCTCCCCGCTACTCACTGACCGAGGTTTCTGACCCAGACGAGGTCAGTGCTCGGGGAGAGCAGGGAGAGGAAGGGAGTGAGCATGATTCTGTGTGGCAGGTTCGAATCTTTATTAACACTTGCTGAGTTAAGTCCTATCTATAAAACCCACCCGTTGGGAGCGAGCAGGTCAGCAGTTCGGGTGCATTCAGTGTTGTGCTGCCCTCACCACAGTCTTAGAACATTTTCACCACCCCAAAAAGAAACCCCATGCCCATGAGCAGTCACTCCCCATCCCCTTCCTCAGCAACCCTTAATCTACTCTCGGTCCCTAGATATGCCTGTTCCAAACAGTTCATAGAGACAGCATCCTGTAATGTGTGGCCTTCTGTAACTGACTTCATTTCACTTAGCAAGTCTGCTGTGAACATTCACATGCAAGTGTATATGTGGGTGTATGTTTTCGTTTTCTTGGATTCAAAAGACAGTTTCCATTTAATGGTGGCTTCACAGTCTGAGCTTTGCTAACTTGAAAGCCTGGCCCTCTCTGCCTCTTCTTCCCTCCCTCCTCCTCCCCCTCCCCCTCCCTCCAGCATTTCACCTTCTTCCTAAGCCTCCCCTTCCGCCCTGTTCTCCCGCCCCAGCACTTAGCTGCACTTTCCAGGATGGAAAGGTGCGTTTTCTCCTGGCCGGACTTGCTTCTGTAGCCCTCGGTTTTGTAGCCATTCATTGCGAGGAGACTTTACCTGTTGGGGTCCCATCACCGCTCTGGGCAGCCCTCTTCGGTTCCAGGGCTGGCTCCCTTGCAAGCATGACCCCCGTCTGATCTGTGGAAACACTCACGTTCTGTGCTCTGGGGTCTGCAGGCCCACACGGGTGCAGGGGTGACCGTTTGCTCTCTCTGTCGGCCGCCCATAGAGTAAGCGAGCTGTCTCCATTTACCCCGTGCCGGAGGCAGGTGTGGCTCCACTGTGACCTCCCAGGGACCGCATCAAGCTCCTATCTTGACTTGAGGTACAAAGGAGATACTCCTCCTCCTGTTTCCCCTCTCTGGGGAGCTCTCCTGTGGCTGAACTTTATATCCACTGACACCTTTTGCCACATAATGTCCACTACTGAGAATTTATCTTAAGGAAACAAGGGAAAGAATGATGTGCGCTGACCCTCAGGTATGGTAGCAAACAGATGGAAGCAGTCCAAACAGCCCACCATTGCTTGACCAGGGCTGGGTAACTAAGAATTCAAATACCGGGACGTAGGATTAAGTGAGAAGTTCTAAAAGGTGTGTCCACGTAAATCATGTCATTTGTTTCAGTTCAGTTCAGTCGCTCAGTTGTGTCTGACTCTTTGTGACCTCATGGACTGTAGCACACCAGGCCTCCCTGTCCATCACCAACTCCTGGAGTTTACTCAAACTCATGTCCATTGAGTCGGTGATGCCATCCAACCATCTCATTCTCTGTCATCCCCTTCTCGTCCTACCTTCAGTCTTTCCCAGCATCAGGGTCTTTTTCAGTGAGTCAGTTCTTTGCATCAGTCNGGGATGCTCCTGGGCAGGGAGACGTGGCTGTGGAGACCGAGGCTGCAGGTTGGGGGGCTGCAGCGGAGGGGCATGGAAGGGTCTGGAACCGGCGTGAGTGGGTGACAGCAGGGCTCGGCCGAGTTCACAGGAAAGCGGGGTCGTTTGGCACTTGGGGGCGGCGGGGACACCCTCCCGAACGTCCTCCTCTGAAGAGCGCCCTGTCTGTCCCTGCAGGGAAGTGTTTCGGAGGGTCGGGCGACCTCCGCAGGCACGTGCGCACGCACACCGGGGAGAAGCCGTACACGTGCGACGTGTGTAACAAGTGCTTCACCCGCTCGGCCGTGCTGCGGCGGCATAAGAAGACGCACTGCCGGGCGGGCGACGAGGCGCCGGACGCCCTGGAGGCGCTCGCGCGGGCCATCGAGGCCCCAGACCTGGAGCGGTCCCAGAGCTCGGACTCCTTCTCCCAGGACTTGTCCGTGCCTCTGATGCCCGCCGTGACCGTCAGAATCCCCGCGCACCCGGCAGACGAGGACACGGTGGCGGAGTTTGACAGCCCCTGTAAGTTCCGGCCGGTGGCTCAGCCCCCTCACGGGCCGAGCGAGCCCGAGAAGCTCAGCCTGGAGCCCGTGAAGCTGGCCAAGCCCCCGCACGTGCCGCCGGCGCAGCACCAGGCCTACGGCTACCCGGACGTGGACGCCCCGGCCAGCGCCGAGCCGCTGCAGGCCGACGGCGTGGCTGCCCTGCGCTCGTCCCTGGCGGCCCTGGACCACCCCCCCTGCTCCGACCCTCTGGGCAGCCGCGCCGCCGCCCCCGCCTACAGGAACTCAGAGGGCCAGTTCTTCTCCAGCATGACCCTCTGGGGACTGGCGATGAAGACGCTGCAGAACGAAAGCGAGCTAGACCAGTGAGGCCCCCGCTGCGTCTCACTCAGCGTCAGGGGCCGGGCTTCGGGGCGGGACACCTTCTGACCGGCTCGAGACAGAGCCCGACCCTGACCTGGTGGGGCTGAGCATCCCAGCACCTTGAGCTCAGTGTGCGGGAGAAAGCCTCCTGGCCCCTCCGGGAGGTGCACGTGGACGGAACAAACCTCACGAACCAGGTGGTATGAACTGCGGGGAACTCCTGCCCATTTTGGTCATGGTAAAGGGAAAATACACACCTATAATAATCCAGATATTATTTTTGCATTTTTACATGGTGAAATTTGTAGCATTTTGTATTTTTATTTACAAAAAGATTTTATTTGTATAGGGAACTCATACAATAATTTAATTTGAATAAATGGAAGTTGCCTTTCTGCGTAATATTGTGTTTCCTTCAACATTCTTACTAACCTAACGACTACGTGGTGGTGGTGGTGGTTTAGCTGCCAAGTCCCATCTGACTCTTGTGGACCCATGGATTCTAGGCCTCCAGGCGAGGGTACTGGAGCGGGTCACCATTTCCTTCTCCAGGGGATCTTCCCCACCCAGGGATCGAGCCCAGGTCTCCTGCTCTGCGGTGGATTCTTCACTGACTGAGCCACCAGGGGAGCCCTAACCTAGAGACCATGGTGGTAAGAAATAAACATCAGGGCGTCCCTGGTGGGCCAGTGGTTAAGACTCCACCTGGCAGGCAGGGGACGTGGACTCGATCCCTGGTCTGGGAGGATCCCACATGCAACTGAGCCCTCACGCCACAACTGCTGAAGCCCGTGCACCTAGAGCCTATGCTCTGCAACAAGAGAAGCCACTGCAGTGAGAGGCCCACACACCGCAACTGGAGAACGCCCGTGTGCAGCAACAAAGACCCAGCACAACCAAAAATAATAAAAAGCATCCAGGAGGGCTCACCCTGAAGATGAATACCAGGTTCAGTTCTGTCATCCTGGACAGTGGCTTCGGCAACCCGCAGGTCAGAGTCTGGGTCCAGGCTGCCACATTCCTGTCAGGTCGTGGGCAAGCTCCTCAACCTCCCAGAACCTTGTGTGGGTTCACTTTTCTGTAGTTCGAGGTGAATAGCTTTTGGTAGTCTTACAGAGCTCAAATGATCTCATCCACTTGAAAACACCTGCCCAGGGAAGGGGGCGTGCCTGGCGGTGAACTTGAAACTTGACCCCTGGTGCGAACGGTGCAAGCAGACTCAGTTATGTCTGACTCTTTGCAACCCCACAGTCTGCAGCCTGCCAGGCTCCTCTGTCCATGGGGATTCTCCAGGCAAGAATACTGGAGTGGGTTGCCATGCCCTCCTGCAGGGGATTCTTCCCAACCCAGGGATCAAACCCCCATCTCCTGCGTCTCCTGTATGGCAAGCGGATTCTTTATCACCGAGCCATCGGGGAAGCCCTAGTCACATATGGGTGGCCATCTCCCTGGGCCTCCTCGCTTGTTCCCTTTCTCATCCTCACCACCTCTTTCCAGCTTCCCTCTAGTATGCCGGCCCCAGCAGCCCTTCATGCCCACCAGGACCTGCAGCCCGTCGGTCAGCTCCGCACCCCTCATGTCCCTGTCCACCTCCTTCCCAGGCTGTACCCCGGGAGCTGACATGCTCTGATCCGCCCTCCAGCCTCTCTTGTCAAGCTTCCCTGCTGAGCCCTGCCCTCTGCTCCTGCACATGGGGCACTGAGCCTGGCTGGCAGGAAGCAGCCACCCTCTGGTTTCTAACACAACTCGCTCCTGGTGAGGTCGGGGTCCGTTTGACCTTCCTTGGTGATGGAGGCCCTGTGCTGTCCTGGACGACTTTTCCTCCATCTTCATGGTGCTCTCCAGCCTCTGTCCCTCCCTGCCCCATCCTCAAGGCCCAAAGAATAAGATTTGCCTAGGGCAAGGTAGAGCTTCCCTGGTGTCTCAGCAGGTATAGAATCCACCTGCAATGCAGGAGACCCGGGTTCAGTCCCTGGGTCAGGAAGATCCCCTGCAGAAGGGAATGGCAACCCACTCCACTGTTCTTGCCTGGAGAATCCCATGGACTGAGGAACCTGGCGAGCTACAGTCCATGGGGTCTCAGAGTCGGAGGCGACTGAGGCCAAGGTAACCATCCTTGAATAAATCTGCATGACTGGGACAATAATTTGACCCAAATAAAAGTTTAGGGAAAAAATGAAAACCAAATCTTTAAAATTCATACTTCCTGCCTCTTTCTTTCTCCCCTTATTACTCTGCCCAAAAGTCTTAAACTAAATAAGGAAAAACTTAGGAGTGGTGAAATGTTTGGAAGTGTGCTAGCGTGTCCTTGAATGGGAGATAATGTTGCAGTGCGCCAGGCCTTGACTTTGTGGTGCACACATAACATGGCCATCCACAGCGCGAACAAATGCCTCTGTGTGTGTGTGTGTGTGTGTGTGTGTGTACATGTGCACATGCGCATCACTGGCCCCAGAGTCAGGAGACCTGGACTGTGTTCTCAGCTCCATCACCAACGTGTGACAAATGCCCTTCCTTCTCTGGACTTCAGTATCCTGACGACGGGATGAGGTCTTCACGGTTCTGTTGCTCTGTGAACACTCTAGATGGCTCATGACTAGGCTCCTGTAGATCCTTCCAGGGCCAAGAACAGCCTTTCATTACAAAGCTGGAGTGCAGAGGCCAAGAGATTGGACAGGTCTTCAGAAGCACCTCAGCCTCTTAGAGCTGGCCGGGACCTTAGGAATCATATCCTGTTTCCATATGGGTCTCTGCGTTCTGTGAGGTCAACAGGAAGTCCTGTTAACAATGCAAATCTTTGTCATTTTGCTGCTATCAAAATCAAATTGACCAAATCTGATTCTTGGTCAGGGCTAAGGCCTAGGAACTGCATTTTAACAAGTTTTCCAGGTGATTCTCAGGCAGGTGGTGTCAGGACAGTAGTTGAAGAGGCTCTGCTCTAGTCTGCATCCCTCATCAGATAGACGCCCTGAGCTGGGAGGCAATGTGCCCAGGAATAACAGCAGCTTCGGGTTCGTCCTGTGCCAGGGACAATGGAAACGCTTTACCAGCGTCAACTCTTTTAAGCTCCATGACACCCTGCGAGGAGATCCTGCGATCCTCCCCATCTACAGATGAGGAAAGGGACCACCTGGAAGGTCAAGGAACTTGCCCGGTTCCACCCAGCCAGGAGGTTGGGTCCCAAGGTTCCAGGCGAGTTACTGACCCCAAACATAGGATCAGACCCAGCCCAGAATGCAAGGCTCATCTGCCAGGAGGTTGATGGGTTTCCAGAGACCAACCTGCTCCTGAAACAAAACTCACTTCTGCAGGGGTTCATCCCACCCTCTTCTTTTTATTTATTTATTTAAAAAAAATTTTTTTCCACCCTCTTCTTTTTAATTTCTTCTTTTTTCCAAGTGAATGAAACAAACATCAGAAAATACAAGAAGTGAAAAGGAAAAGTATTTCCATCACCCAGAGGTGACAGTGATGTTGGTGATGATGACAAATGTGACTCTCGTCCTGATGACAGCTGATAACTGCTGAACACCCCAGGCTCTGCTCTGCACTTCACATGCATTTTCTCATTAAGCCCCTTCAACACCCGAGGAGGTTGAGCACTGTTTACCCCTGGATTTGTTTCCTCTGCAATCAGATACAGTGAAACTTAGACACATTAACATTTTAAAGATCAGTTGGTACTATACACTCTTCTTTTTGCCTTGTCACAAAACAAACTCTCATAAGCATCAGTTCAGTTGCTCAGTCGTGTCCAGCTCTTTGCGACCCCATGGACTGCAGCATGCCAGGCCTCCCTGTCCATCACCAACTCCCAGAGCTTGCTCAAACTCATGTCCATCAAGTCGGTGATGCCATCCAACCATCTCATCCTCTGTCGTCCCCTTCTTCTCCTGATGCCTGGGAGTCAACTCTTCGCATGAGGTGGCCAAAGTATTGGAGTTTCAGCTTCAACATCAGTCCCTCCAATGAACACTCAGGACTGATCTCCTTTAGGATGGACTGGTTGGATCTCCTTGCAGTCCAAGGGATTCTCACGAGTCTTCTCCAACACCACAGTTCAAAAGCATCAATTCTTCGGCACTCAGCCTTCTTCACTGTCCAACTCTCACATCCATACATGACCACTGGAAAAACCATTGCCTTGACCAGATGGACCTTTGTTGGCAAAGTAATGTCTCTGCTTTTAAATATGCTATCCAGGTTGGTATTAACATTCCTTCCAAGGAGTCTCTTCCATGTAGTTACAAGGAAATCTACAGGCCCCCCAGGCTGTATCCCGACAGGTTTGCTTCTGGCCACCAGATGGCGGTATAGCCCCTCAGAATAAGCTGAGACCGCAGCTGGGGGATCCTCAAACGCTAAGGCTACCCCCAGAGACTGCCAGGGCCGCATGCACCCACCTGAGTCCCTGCCCCACCTCCCACCCCACCCCACATGGGAACCTGTTGGTGACCTAACATTCTCCTTCCTCAGTTTGGAGAGATGTGTCCTAGGAAGGGGAGTCGTTTGCTCATTTATTTGTCAACCTTGCTGAGTGCTGACAACCTCCCCCGACTCCAGGGTTCAAGCTTTAGGAGGAAACGTTAGGGTTCACTGGGTTCTCAGTCTCCTCTCTACAAATGGGCTCTAAAAATAGCTCAGACTCACGGGTGACCGGTGAAAACCTGATGCTGTGTAAAGGAAGCCAGACACAGAAGATCACATGTCTTGCACGGTTCCATTTATATGAAATGCCCAGAATAGGCGAATTCATAGAGAAAGAAAGTGGATGAGTGGTTGCCAGGGCCTGGGGGAGGGCGGGATGAGAAGTGACTGCCAGTGAGTCTGGGATTCCCGCCTCAGATGATGAAAAGATTCTGGAACTAGATAGTGGCCTTTAAGGGCTGAATTGTGGCTCCGTCCCCCCAAAACGAGGCTGTAGGTCTGGGACCTGATCCCACAGAACCATGTCCTTAGAAGAAGGGACCTCAGAGGTGATCAGGAGGTGGGGGCCAGGCTCCCCTGGCTCCTAAAGGGTGGCCTCAGTGAGCTTACCTGCAGGATTCCTGGACACGTGAATCGGACGCTGACACTGTCTGCCCTCCTTCTTCTGCCTTCAGGACAAAAGGGTCCTGTGTCCTGAGCCCCAGAGCCGGCCTCACCGTCTCCTGAGAACTCTCTAAGCCGCCTGGGCCTGGCCCATGGTGTGCTGACAGAGAAGAGAAAGGAATTGTGAAAATCCCGTCTCTCTCACAAAACCCTAGCTTTTGAATCTATTGTCTGGCTGCAGGATTCATTCTGCATGCCAGAATCAAAACAGGACCTGGAGCTTTCTCTTCGCTTCCTCTGTGGCATTCCTAACCCCACCCCCATCCCCATCCCCACCCAAGGCAGAGGGATGTTTTTGGTCATCAGG